GTTAAAAGTTCTTTTGTGTTAAATTTTTGCTATTGTACAGAAGTACTTTATGAAGAAGCATTTCTAAATGTCTTGTCGAAGCAACGAACAGTGTGTGAACCAAGGTATAAAATATCGATGATATCGGAAATATTGGTAGTCAAAAAACACAGAAATTTCGATGGAAATATCGGGATATTATCGATATCGATAAAAATTGAATAAAAACCATGGAAATTGTAAGAAAAACTTGGAAATTTTTATTGAAACTTTGCAGGATGTTTATTTAGTCAATTATCTATTAGTTTATCACAAAAAATTGGAAGGAAATGCATTGCATGATGGATTTAACTAATTTAAGTTGATTATATAATGAGCTGGCAAACATTGTGAGTGTAGAAAATATGTAGTAATTAATGAAAGAAGTATAAACGCATTATAATCATTTATATATAATGAGTTAGTACAATATTTTACACTTTACACATTGCATGGTAAGATACATGAGTGATTTAATACCACATAGAGTTCTTACGAGGTTCAAAATTTTCACTATCTTCATCATCTCTATGTGTAGATTTGTTTCTTGCAAAAAGAATTCAAAACAAAACCATATATATAAATATTTTAGCATATTTTCACTAAAACATAAATGATATGGTGGTCAAGATGTTGAAGGAGTAAAATGGGAGGGTTCGAATCCCTTAGTGTTTTTTTAAATATAGAAATTTATCCTAGATAATAAATATTAGGGTAAATTACACAAAACTACCTCAACTATTAGGGTTTTATTTATTTATTTATTTTTCTGGGTTGCAGGTAGTGGGTGCGACATGTAACACCCCAACCCCCATTTATATGTATAATTTCGTAAGTCCCCTAAAGTTTTATTAAGATTTCATTTTGGCCCCCCCCATTTTGATTAAATCTAGACCCTTTATCTAGATTCCTAAACATTCCCAAACTGCCACTTGGTAGCACCATATCACTCTTCACTCTTCTCTCTTTCCGTCCCCTACCCCGTGACCTTCTTTCCTTTCTCTTTCTTCTTCTTCTTTCTCTGCACTCTATATCTCTCTCTCGAAACCTTCTATCTCTTCCCTCTCTGTCGCCGAGACACACACAGCAGCACCATCGTGCAAACATCATTACCATTATCATCATCGTCATCAAACCTCGTATTTCTCCCTCTCCTTCTTGTCTCTGCAACTCGGCGAACGCAGGAACTCTCCGGCAAGCTTCTTAATCTTCTTCGGTTAGGTAAGCTTCGGGTTTACCTTTTTTTGTTTTAGATTGAAGCTTAGATGTGAATTTTTAAGTTCTATCTCGTGTTTTTCTAAGGTTTTTGGGATGAAATCGGCTCGGGATTAGGCACACCCATCTCCGGCGAGGCCGTGGGTGTCTAGAGGTGTTCCGACCACCACAAGTCGTTTCATGGCAAACAAAAATGGTTCGAGTGGGTCCCACCGTCGAACGAATGGGATCCGATGACTGCCACATCTTTGGGAGTCGTTCACCGCCACAGAGAACGACGCAGCGGCTGCCAAGGGTCTTCAAGTCACCGATCTTGTTGAAGACGAGGAGGAGGAGGGAGTCCAGGAGGCGATCGAAGAGGTCGTCGTCAATGGGGGAGTAGGGTTCCAGACGACAACGACGAATTCCTCCGATAATATCGCGATATATTGATAATAATTAAGTGGATACTCGTGAAAATATTGCCCTCTCACAAAAACGATATTATCGGTGAAATATCATCGATAATATCAATATTTTGGTCCATGGTGTGAACCAAAAGGAAATCTTGTTGTATGCGAGACATTAATCTTATGCATATAGTGTGGATAGTTATATAATTTTCTCTGGTCAATAAGCATTGGAATGGATTGATATTCATATATGGCCACTAAATCTTCTCAGGAGGATCCTCATAACCAAGGTATAAAATATCAATGATATCGGAAATATTGGTGGTTAAAAAACATGGAAATTTCGATAGAAATATCGGGATACTATCAATATCGATAAAAATTGAATAAAAACCACGGAACTTGTAAGAAAAACTTGAAAATTTTTATTGAAACTTTGCAGGATATTTATTTAGTCAATTATCTATTAGTTTATCACAAAAATTGGAAGGAAATGTATTGTATGATGGATTTAACTTATTTAAGTTGATTATATAGCGAACTGGCAAACATTGTGAGGGTAGAAAATATGTAGTAATTAATGAAAGAAGTTTAAACACACCATAATCATTTATATATATTGAATTAGTATAATATTTTACACTTTATACATTGCATGGTAAGATACATGAGTGACTTAGTACCACATAGAGTTCCTATCAAGGTCTAAAATATCGAGGATATCGGAAATATCGGTAGTCCCAAAACATGGAAATTTCGATGGAAATATCAGGATAATATCGATATTTTAGACCTTACTCATAACCAGACAGATAATGAACAATTTCATCATTTAGCATAAAAGCAATCTGACCAAAAAAAGTGCCAAGTACCTATTACATCTCTATTGTTTTTTGTAAGTGACATTTTACCACAGTGGTAGAAAGAAGTTGAGTCATTGTAAGACGGCATGGGTTCGAATCTCATTGGTGACTAATCTAACATTTAATCTAACAAAATCTATCAGTTGACAAAAAATATAAAAAAATCTGACCAAAAAAAAAACATTAAAAGCAAATATTGGATGAGCATACCAAAAGGATAATGTTAATGAGTCTAAATTTTGTCTTTTAGCATTAGCCATACCAAAATCTCATGCGAAAGGTTTGATTTGAGTGTGAGTTTGGTATAAAAGTTATGGACAGGGACGTTTATATTGAGTGGGTTAAACCTCATAATGGGGCAATAATTTGGTTCAAATTCACTTATGACGAGAATCGAACTTAAAATTTTTCACTTATAAGCGAAAAAGAATACTACTAGACTGTAGTACTAAGTGACTATTATATTGTTTTATCAAAGGGATGATATAAAGTCTGTCTCGATTTCGTTCTTTGTAAAAGGACTCTAATAAAGTAAATATGGAACCAACTAAAGGGCCATATTAGCAGCTTGTATCCATGTCAAATATTAATCTTGATCATGTAATATAACTCACTTTAACATATGCAATTATACAATATTTGGGTTAATTTATGTATAAATCTTGTGAATTGTAACTTAAGAATAAATTTCTTTGGCTTTTTATATTAGCACCCCACAAAATGTTGAATGCATCTCACATTAAAATTTAATATTAAATGATTTATTTACCCTACTATACAATGACAATTTTGAACTTATTAGGTTTTTAGAAAAAAAAATTCTAAATACACCCCAAATCACTTTTAACGTATTATTTATCTTCTTCAACTATTAAAATCCCTCCGACCCTCCATTGTTGAACAAAACCCTAACCAATGAAACTACAAACAAGTTGATTGAGAAAAATTATTTTTGACGAATGGAACATGAAATCGATGTTTCGGAAGCTTCACATGAGGTAAGACTTCATATTCTTTATTGTTTGAGTGATTTTGACGACATCGATAATTATTTAATCTTGCTTTAGCTGCATTATTTAAGCTTCTATGTTCGTATTCATCTTTTAGGGATCACATGAATTACATGAAGAATTAAACACCTAAAATTACCACCAAATATTAAAAGCAGACGAGATGGGTTTTAATGGTGGAATTGCAAACAAACCACATATGCTTTAAATCTTAGGCGGCATCTTTTGTCAAAATTTTAGGCGGCATCTTTTGTCAAAATTCCAGTCGGCATTTTTTGTCCAAATTAAAAGCTTTATAGGATTTGCGAAATGTGGGGTGTATAAAAAAACATGGGGTGCATGTAGAAAATATAAGGTGTTTTTTGAGAATGTGAGGTGTGAGGGTATTATGGGGAAGTAAATGGGGTGTATTAAGATAATTTTTCATTGAAAAAGAAAATGTGGGGTGTATTAAGATAATTTTTCATTAAAAAAGAAAATGTGGGGTGTATTAAGTATGTGGGGTTTATTCAACAATTTGTGAGGTGTTAATATAATAAGCTATTTCTTTTATTTCAAAACCAATTTTACCACTCATATACAGTCATGAAATATTTAAAATCAAACCTTAGATCGGTGTGTTTTATCTTGTACTGGCTTATTTTTTTTTAGACTAAATTTCTCATTGATGAGAGAAATGACATTACATGAGCTTATAAGTAACTTGAGCTATTTCCCATATTACTGATTGGTTTTATAGTGGAATCTTAACTTTCTTCAATTTTAATAGTTGACATGTCCTTCTAATAATATTTAGGACGCTCTTATAGTTAAAAATTATAGTTGGGGTTAGGCCTTGTGTCTCTTGTTTGTCTTTTTATTATTTTATATAATGATATATTTATATATCATTATATACAACTTGCAATTTGTCCTAAGAGGTGACAAATTTAGGTTAAGCTATACAATTATCTAACCATAATAATTTGGTATTTAACTTGCAATTTATGCCCTTTTGTTTAGTACATCGATAGTTTTACACTAAGGGAAGTGGAGTTCGGCTAAGCCACACAATGAGTAGCCTAATTTGGTATTGAATTCGCCAGCCATACAATGAGTAGCCTAATATGGTATTGAATTCCCCATTAAATCTCATGTTTGTCTTTGTTTTTTTTTTATTTAAAAAAAAATTGGACTTTACAGAGTCCAACCTAATCCTAACACTATAAAATAGAGAGTAATACTGTAATATTAAGTCATGTATTTTTCAAATCAGTATAAAGCTCCCTCTTACGGTCAAATTTCTGAAAGAAAAATTATAATTTAAAATGATTAGATTTGTAAGATGATAACACCCTTCCTCCTCAATTTACTCCAATAACATACATACAACTTTTCACTATAAATATTAATACTTATGGCTTGCTCATATTCGAAAAAAGCAAGTTTGCTAGCTGCATCTACAAATTCTTGCATACAAACATACAAGCTCAAACGCTTCAGAATAAATTAAAGATCTGGAAACACTTCCAATAATATCACATGCATGCATGCAGATGATGCCTTAATCAGTTGGAGTTTTCGGTCATAAATCTTTTAATAACTTGCAAAGCTTCATCTGAGACTTCTGAGTAGGGATCATTCGTTAAAAAACCATGTTGCTCTCCCTCAAATTCGACACACTCAATTTTCTTTCCCAAATCTTTTAACTTTCTCCAGTAGCTCTCCACCCTATCTTTCAACAGTTCATTGCCACCCAAGATAACCAAGATGGAATCTAGGGCCACCTTCTCAAGGTTTGGACTGTTTGGTCCAAATGGGTTGACCATTGGATGGTCTCTGGTTTCTCCTACTGGCATTGAAAGCCTCCAAAATCTGCATGAATTATAACAGTTAACATAGATATCAAACTAATTTCATATAAATCGGACAGGGATCTTAAAATGATCATATCAAATGAATAATACTAGAACTAATATTGTTAACCAAAAAAGAAAAATGATCATAAAAATGTCCTAAAGGCTCTTGTAAATTTATTTTTGTATCCAGAGTCAAATACGCATACATTTTTTTTTAAAACATACGTGTACATATTAGAACCATCAAGTAATGCATTGGTTAAGGGAATATGATAAGTATTAACTACATTGTAAAAGATGAAATTGGTACAGAGGAAGAGAAAGAATTGGTAGAGAGAAACAAGAAATATTGTATTGATTGAATGGAGAAAATGTATACAAAATGAACTTAATGAAATGATAGCTATACAATCCCTTATATAGCCATATAACCTAATTACAATAATACCCATCTAACTATATTTCTGTTATATCAGTTATTACTCCCCCCTCAAACTAAACTTGGAGTATCCAAGTGAAGTTTGAACTAGCCAGGGATTTGAGACTGATATGCAATTACTGGTCTCCAACTGTCTGCCCAGTTCCGTGGCTGCTCCCAGTGCCTGTAACATCACCAAAATCATCTAAAGTCTCGCTCTCAAGATGTAAAATGTCATCCTTGCGCACTGCAACCATCTTGGACAACAAAGCAGTGAACTTGCTTAGTAGAGTCCAAATTAGCACTAAATCCATTAGAATTGTCGTTTCTTTAAGCAGAACCCAATACAAGCTCCCCAACAGGTAGATCAGCAATACAATCAAATCTGGTCTTGGTCTGAACGTACCCAACAAGTTGTCGACTGTGAACTGAGAAGCCATAGTAACACACTCACTGTATATGCAAATTATCCCTCCTAAATCTTGACAGAAACTGGCACCAAATCAACAATGGAGAATGACACTCCAAGAAATTAAATCTACCAAGGAGAATGACACTCCAAGAAACTAAATCTACCAAGGAGAATGACACTCCAAGATCTTCCGAACACCAAAATTAACCAAATCAACTAAGGAGAATGACACTCTAGGAAACTAAATCTACCAAGGAGAATGACACTCCAAGAAACTAAATCTACCAAGTAGAATGACACTCCAAGATCTTCCGAACACCAAAATTAACCAAGGAGAATGACACTCCTGAAATCTTCCGAACACCAAAATTAACCAAGGAGAATGACACTCCATATCAACTGAATGACTCCACATATCAACAATTTGCATAGGCAAGAAACATATACGGCTTTGTATCTCAACAATATTCCAAACACTTCAACACTTTTCAACAACTACAGAGACTGGAAATGACCTGATTTCACTATTGTCTGCTATGGTTGCTGAAAGGTTGGGCAGCGATGAGTGCACACCACAATCGACAACATCTGGGCTATTCATGTGTGCTATTAACCTTGCATCGAGCGAGGGCATATTGGTTCACGGAGTTAGAGTTAACCAGCAAAGAGGAAAGAATCTCCAGCACCGACAAACACCACCATCTCGAATCTTCAAGAATTACAGAATCGCAGAAATTCGCAGCTCCACCAGATCATCAAAGTAATAGAATAGAGAACAGAACATGGATCAAATAACACCAAAGAAGCACAGAGAGCTGATATACAAACTACACCAAGAATGTAGAGCAGATACCACCTGAGAAGATCCCATATCACAAGGCAGACACAACAGAGAATCAAGAAACTGACAACATCCCAAATCTGCAAGAGCTTTCCACACTAGAGAAGGGAACACGGAGCAGTGGCAAATATAGAATTCAGAGAGCTAATCTGCGAACACTACTAAGAATAAAGAAATAGACCAATAATCTTGAAATCACTCTTTGACATTTCGTCAAACAAATAATGTGCAAGAATGCACTTGCCAATTGAGGATGACATTTGAAGAATCGGTGATGTCAAATTTGAGGAGGACATAACTTCACATGAAAATTCTGAGTTGGGCAATATGTCAAACACCTGGACTGCAGCGAACAAGAAGCATACGATTTTGGGAAACACCAAGAAGTCGAGAATCCAACCCATACAACTCTAGCTCCGACTAAATCCTTGTTGTCACCGACCAAAACCCACCTGACTGGTACACTGTTCTTCAAATATCCCGACCCAGATCCGCAAACCCAATTGTCATCCGGACCCAGTTGAAATCGATGAGGTCAGTGACGACGTTTTTCAGGGTGGTGATCACAGAGTCGCCTGGAACACGTTGGTGGCACCAAGGATCTCCAAAAGAACGCTCATTCTCAGTCGATTCGCATCCACAAAAACTAAGTAAGAAATTGATTCTGCTTCTTTCTCCGATTCAGGGATTAGAGAGAAGAAGGAAACACCAAAGAACTTAGACGAAAAATTCAAGAAAATCTGAAGAGAAAATAAAACTCGAAAAAGAAATCTAAAAAAAAAATAAAATACGGAACCACCAGAATCAATGGCGTAAGCCTAGTGGCTCTGATATCATATTAACTACATTGTAAAAGATGAAATTGGTACAGAGGAAGAGAAAGAATTGGTAGAGAGAAACAAGAAAGATTGTATTGATTGAATAGAGAAAATGTATACAAAATGAACTTAATGAAATGATAGCTATACAATCCCTTATATAGCCATATAACCTAATTACAATAATACCCCTCTAACTATATTTCTGTTATATCAGTTATTAATAAGGAACGAGGTTTGATAAAAAAAATAAAGGATACTGGATATGGCACTATCTTAATCAGTCTACGTGTGAAAGGTCATACTCATATATTGGATTAAGCACTACTTAGACGATATTAGACTTGCTTGTTATCGTAATATCAAGGTTATCTAGCTTTATATCATAATCATTTCCGGTTCGTTGGATTTAGCACTATCTTACGCGTTTGAAAAGAAACTCAAAGTTTGATCATTATTCATGCATGGTAACTAGCAATATCGCACATGTCCATAGCGCACAAAATTATATCAAAGTATCTTGAATAATTGTCAAAACCACAGTATTTATTTTTTCGTTAATTGTTATAAGCACTCCGAAATAATTATCATGCTTCTCCCTTCTTTGTGTTATGAGTGCATCATGACTATTTTCTTGGCAATAATATATAGCTCCCATTTTTTATCTCCAAATTTCTTTAGCTATTAAAGTGATCACCAACTTTTTATTGTTGTTTCTCTTTCTATAACTGTAAGAGGTTCTAAGTGCAATTTTTCTTTGTTTAAAAAAAAAGAAAATACCAAGTGATATTCTTTATATACTAAACTTGACGTGTTTAAATCTAATTAGTTATGATCATTTTGATTATAGTTATTAGTTTTTGAATTGCCCATGTTGGTTAAAACACGAGCTAATTAAGCTTAAATTATTATTTTGAGATAGGATAATTTTATTTGAACCTATTTAACCTCTCTTTACACTCAGCTTACTCTCTACACCCATCTTATTTTCAATTAAGTTATTAATATCTCTTTAAACCCTAGTTTACTTTCTAAACTACCCTAACAAACTCAATTCAATATGTAAATTTATTTTTACACCCATTTATAAAAAACTCAAAATCAAAACATGTATTCTCTTGTCTGACATTCTATCCTTCCAACTGGTATGTCATCTTCCCTTTTATTTCTTCATGATTTAACTGAAATCAAAATCAAAATTAATAATAATTGGTGAGAATTAATTTATCATTTAGGTTTATAGGAGGATGGCATAAAGCCACCTTTATGCAATTACCATGTTGGAAAAGCTTGATAACACCCTATTTGCTCGCTTTCTGATGCTTTTATGAGCAATTTGGGCGCAAGAAATTCAAGGCTATGGAACGGGAAGATTGAGCAGCCCAACTTAACTTGTGAGTCATTATAGCTATTGGACTACTTAGTTTCTTATAGGTTCCTGCTGCGGGAGGACTAATTAATATCTGTAGAAGTCGTGGAAATGCAACCGAAATTAGCGGTTTGAATCTGGTGCTACTGCGATAAGGCTACTAGATTGAATCATCCATAATGAAACCATCCATTTGCTTCACATTTTTTGCTGACCACAGCCAGCTCTTAGTTGAAATGAGTTCATCCGTTTATATATAGAACGAACTACAGCTTTAGACAAGCAAATTTACAACAGCATATAGGGCATGATAAAACTACTTATTTGGCCTACTAGCCTTCAATGGTGTACGAGGGTTCATTTGTTTATATCAATCAATTCATAACTTAGTTGAAGGATCCAAAACTTCAAAGTTACCATCCATTCGTAAAAAGAGCTTGCTCTCGTCTTAGGGTTTTAGCCAAATAGAATGTTCGAAAATGATTGCGTTTATATGTTTGATTTTTGAATATGAGTTTATTGATAAATTTTAGTTTTATTGTTAATTTCAATTTGTACTTAATGGTAATTATACAAATAGAGTAAAAAAAAAAACAATTCACATTTAAAATTTAAGTTGAATATAGAAAGAGGTTACATGAATTCAAATAAAATTTTTCTTTGAGATATTATTTGGAAAAAGACACCTCCAATATTAAATGTTGACCCATTCAAGGTCAAGTCATTTGACACGTACGTAAAGAAGAAATGCGTTTCACATCATCAACTTCAGAGGGATTTGGAGGGGATCTTCTCCCCTATTTAGGTGTCTTCTAGTAGTCATCACCTATAATTTATCTAGAAGATATCAACATATGTAGTCTAACTTTAGACCACAAAAGTATAGTCTTTTGTCTTATGAAAGGACAAATAATTACGATGCAATTCACATGGCAACATCTTTCATGGTCAAGATGGATATGACATTTAAATGATTGAATGCCCTCATAAACCTTAATTTGGATGCTTTTGATTGGAGTCAAATTTTACTCTATGAGATTAAAAAGATTTGTTGCTTTATAGATCCTCGTGAATAGGTAGAAATGCCTTTTTACAAATTCAAAGGGTGGCCAATTGCAACCTATAATTTTTCATAGATCTGTAAAAGGAACGCGAGCTTCTAGTACGTATAAAAACTTCCCTTAAAAAAATAATCCGAATTACTTAATTAGAATTTGTGTAACTTTTACCAGGAACGGGAGCTTCTTTATATCCACCTCTAATTTACCGTTCCTCATAATCATTATTCTTGTAGTGACATCGGAAGAAACATTATCCGAATTGAAATTAGATAGCGTGCCGATTTTTGTGCGCTTATTAGTTGTGACTTCTTTTTTGTATCAAGGTGCAGAAGTAGAACAAATATGGTTGATTTATCTCATGCTTACTGCAATGTTGAAAAAAAGGTTCGAAGTGCAAATCTTCACACACCCTATTGATTCAAATAACAATTTAAAACATTATGCTAATCTAAACTATTAATGCAAGAGGTTTTGATTGAATATACTGTTAGAGTATGAGTATGATTCTTACAAGTTGTGTGATAATCCTTGAGTATTTCGAATTGTTATAAAGAAGTTTTAATGTAAATAATAGAATTAAGTCAATTATATTGGAATTGGGACTCTGGTATTTGCTCAAATACTCATATTTGTATAAGGATTTGGTGTCAAATTCCTTGTAGGATTGTTATAGGGCAATCCGTATGTTTTAGTATAAAACCACAAGCCCCTGCTCTTACAATTAACGCTCTTGATTTGTACCAATTACCTATTCTTGGGAGAGCATTGAGTTTAGCAGAGAATAGAAGGCTTTGTGTATCGACTAGTATGGCTTCTTCTTCCACCGGCATGCCTACAGGTATATCATTCTTTGATTAGTTTAGTTGGGTGATATTAACATTAGTATTTGATCATGAGATTGTGATTTAGTTGTTTGATCATTGCGTTCATGGTTTAAAGGTATTCAATTTACTCTTACATATACTTTACAAAATAGACGATAAAAATGCCAAAGAGAATATTAGTACATAAATGAATGATATGAAAAATGTTTCTCACAATATATGTTATATTATGTTCCTTAAATATACGAACGTGCAGATTGTCGCATACCATGTGGTAAGCCAAGAGATCATTTTCCTCGAAAAGAAGAGAAAAGAGAGAGAAGAGAGAACTAATGTGCAAAATAGCAAGGGACAAGCTCGAAAAGTTTTGAAGGAATACCGGTCAAGTATTTCCAAACTCAGCGTTGCCTTACAAGGACCCTCCTCAGACTTTGTCCTCTCCACCCCACCAAAATATGGTGCCAGCAGCACAAACCCGCGTACCCTAATTGGAGCCGGCTGGACCGACCCCGTCGCGAGCCGAATTGCCAGGTGGTGAGCCATATTCCCACCTGAAGATTCACCCAATACAAACACCCGGTCGAAGTCAGCCGGCCATCCAGGCATCACAGTTATTCGTGCTCTCACCCAAAGCCTCCCTCAGCAGCCACTCCACTGCACTCATCGCATCGTCAATTGCGGCTAGAAGCTTGTGCTCTGGAGCGAGCCTATAGTCGGGAGACACCACAAGGGCCTGGAGCCCTGACTATTAGGAAAATGTATTTCCATTTCACAAAAGGAAATAAAGTTACACTTTGTGTATATATACACAAGCTATGAAAGCCAGCTGTACAGTAACAACTTTCTAACCAAAGGAAATCTTATCATAACAAACTAATAGTTTCCTTAACCTCTAAGTATTATCCCTAGAAGATGAGTTTACAATATTGCCCTTAATATCCCCCCTTAAACGAAACTGTTGAACTCAAAGTTGAAGTTTGTCTCGAAGAAATAGAAATCTGGATTGAGATAGAGACTTGGTGCATAAATCAGCGACTTGATCTTGTGTACAAATGAAGTGAAGAGAGACTTGCTTGGTCAGGGATATGGCTGAGACATTATCGCACCAAAGTTGAGGAGAACAAGGTAGACAATAACCAATATCAACTAGCAACTTACGGATTCAGGTTATTTCAGATGCAGTGTTTGCAAATGACCGATACTCTGCCTCTATTGATGAACGAGTTGGTTGCTTTTTACCACTCCAACTTATGATTGAATTTCCTAGAAAGATAAAATAACCTCCAGTGGATTGCCTATCCAAAGCACAACCAGCACAGTCAGCATTGGAGAAGGCTTTGATGCAGGGATTAGTGGAGCATTTAGAAAACTAGAGGCCAAGATGAACGGTACCTTTGAGATACCTAAGTATTCTCTTGATAGCTTAGAGATGGGAAACTCTTGGAGTATGCATGAATTAACAAACAACATTAACAACAAAGCTGAGATCTGGTCTTGTCCATGTTAAATATTGGAGAACACTGACCAAAGATCGATACTCAGAAACATTATCAATGAGAGGAGAATCATGATCAAGGTTGGAGGTGCTGAGTTGTGTATTGCAGGGTTTAGCTCCAACCATTTTGGCCTTAGTTAATAGGTCAAAAATGTATTTGGTCTGAGATATAAAAATACCAGTGAAATACCTTTTTACCTCGATCCCAAGAAAGTAGTGCATGCTCAAAGATCTTTAATGGGAAACATAGTGTTGAGTTGTTTGATCACATTTTAACAAACTGCAGATGAAGGACCAGTGACCAGAATATCGTCCACATAAACTAGAATGAACACCAATGTAGGATCCTTTTTGACAAAAAGAAAGTTATCACTTTAAGAGCCAACAAATCCGAAGGAATGAAGAGCAGTATGTAATTTGTCATACAAGGCTCGGGGAGCCTGTTTTAGGACATATAAAGATTTATGTAGTTAGCACACATGATTTGGTTTTGTAGAGTCTTCAAATCCAAGAGGCTGCTGCATTAAAACAGATTCAGAGAAAGTGCTGTGCAAATGCTAACATCAAGTTGATTTAAAAACCAGTCAAATTGGGCAGCAAAAGTAAGTAAAAGTCTTATTGTCATAGGTTTAGCCACAGGGCTAAACGTTTCAGCGTAATCTAGGCATTCCTATTGATGGAAGCCTTTTTGCAACAAGTTGGGCCTTGTAACGATCTATAGATCTATTAGGCTTACGTTTAATCCAGAAAGCCCACTTGCAATCTACAATGTTTTGAGATGAGTTGTGAGGAACCAGAGACCATGTGCCAGTGTTAAAGAGAACATTAAACTCTTCCTACATTGCATGGCACCAACGTTGGTGTTTGGAGGCCTGGATATAGATTGTGGGAATGTAATCAAGTGACAAATGAGAGGGTAGTGGATGTTTAGTTGTAGTGAGAGCTTTAGGTTTGAATATGTTGGACTTAGATCGTGTTTGCATGGTATGGATGTTGAGTGTTAGCGGGGAATGATCACTATATGAAGTTGATGGATCTGATTGAAGTATATGGAGGGGAGTTGGTTTTGATTGACGTGCAGGTTGTGATATAGGTTGGGATGTGGGTGAAGATGCTGCAGTGGTTGTATTAAATATTGGAGAGATAAGAGAAGGAATGGATTTAAAGGTTAAGGTTGATGGTATGGAAGAAGGTGTTGTGGGAGATTTAGTATAGGAAATAGGTGAAGAATGGTGAACCTGATGGAATTGAAAATTGTACTCATCAAATAAAACATGCCGAGAAATATAAATTCTTCTTGTGACTGGATCAAGACATTTGTACCCCTTATGGTTAAGACTATAGCCCAAGAAAACACAAGACTAACTATTAGGTTCCAACTTAGAGGAGGTATAAGGTTTCAACCATGGGAAACATAAGCAGCCAAAGGCTTTCAGTGTTGCATAGTTAGGAACTTTCTTGAAGAGAGACTCCCAAGGTGAAGATCGAGACATTGTAGGAAATTTGTTGATGAGATAAATTGTTGTTGCAAAGGCTTCAACCTAATATAGATGAGGGACATTGGATGCTACCAAAAGAGCCCTGGTAGTTTCCACAAGGTGTTTGTGTTTACGTTTTGCACACCCATTTTGTTCTAGGGTGTATAGACAAGAAAGTTGATGTTGAATACCATGCCCAACCAAGAAATTAGAAAATAAAGTACTCATGAATTCACCACCAGAATCAAATCTCAAGCAATAATTTTGGTGCACAAAATATTCTCAACCAGAGATATATATTGCATAAGGGTGAAGACTACATCAGATTTGCATCTTAAGGGATAGAACTAACAATATATGGTAAAGTCATCCACAAATATGACATAGTACCTAAAACCATCTTAAGAGACTATAGGTGAGGGTCCCTAAACATCTGTATGGATGAGTTATAATGGTTTCTTTGTGGTACATGTAGTGGATAGAAATGGTAGTCTAGAACATTTTCCTAATGCCCATTCTAAACAAAAGGATTTATTTGTATTCTATAAAATTGAGATACAGGATTGAGATGCAAGTTTATTGATAATATTGACAAAAGGGTGGCCCAACCGTTTATGCCAAAGATTTCTTGAAGCTTTCACGGTAGCAGTGAGTGCTTTATGCTTGTCATCAGTATGAGAAGAGAGATGAAATGGATAGAAACCACGCTTGACAGGACCTTTAAAACGCATCATCCTTGAATAAAGATCCTTCATAGTGAAGTGAGAAAGATAAAGATGCATGAAATAGTAGTTATCAATTAAAAATTGATTGGCAGAGAGGAGGTTATGTTTCAAATCAGTCACATATAACACTTTTTTTAGTGTAAAATTGCTATGTGAAGTATTTAAAGTAGAAGAACCAGAGTGAGTGATAGGCAAACCTTTGCCATCACCAATGTACACTTGTTCAAGGCCTATGTAAGCTTCAGGATTCTGGAGAGTGGCATAATTGTTGGTCATGTGGAAGGTTGCACTAGAGTCAACAAGCCATGTAGGAGAAGAATTAGAAGTGCTGGTAACCAGGGTAGATTGAGATGACTTACCGCTGTAGTGAGGATTTATGTGATAAGGGAAATCACAAGCTTGATGATCAAATTGGCGACAAACTTGACAAGAAAGTTTCTTGTTGGATGAGGAAAAATTGTTCCAAGCTTCACGATTGTAATGCTGATTGTTGCCATGATTGTAATTATTGAATCTCTAATTATTATTTGTCTTCAAATTTGCACGATTGTTGTAGTTGACTCGATTGAAATTCAAATCCATTCCATAACTTTGAGTGTTGAAAGTAGATGAATTATGAGTAACATATCCTTGAGAGTTAGAATTGAGGGAAGAATACCAGTGGATGTGTTGTAGACCTGAAAGGATGATTCCGGTGCACTTTTCTTTCGATTATTCAATTAGATCTCTTTGCTGAGTAGCAGACATTGTAATTCATCCACAAAAGAATCAAATTCTGGAGGTAATCTGTGGAGAATAACAGAGATTAATTCAGAATCTTCGACTGGAGCTCCAGCACTGGCAAGGGCATCGATGATTTCCTCAATGTGTTGAAGATATTGAGCATCAGTGAGATCACCTTTGGTTAGACTACGAAGACGAGATCAGAGTTCGTGGATGTGTGAATGTGGGGCGGTTGCAAGACGCAATTCCAATTTAGCCCAAAGTTCTCGAGCTAAGCATACTCCAACAGTATAGGGAATTAGGGATTCAAAAAGAGTTGAGTTGATCCAGATGAGAATGTTTTGATCATTCTCAAACCAAGCAACATACGCCAAATTCAGCTCTAGTTTGGTACTGAGGTGCTTCTGTTTAAAGTGGGTATCAAAAAAAGCTGTGAGCTTTTTTGTGTTTGGTAAACATTCAACTTCAGTTCTTTTTCCACAGTTTTGGGTGAAAAAAAACCAAAAGCACAAAGTTGCAAAACCCAGCTTTGAAAAACTGGTTTTTTTTCCTTGCCCAACTTCTACGCAAACCGATTTCTCAAGAGGGAAAGTGGCAATCTCTGAAGCTATCTCTGTTGTTCCCCCTGCACCAACCACGCTTATTCCGACCAGGGGTTTTTGCTTTCTTCTCCCGATTTCAATCCCGCACTGTCTGATCTTGATCATGCGGTCCTCAACGAGCTTCAGAAATTGGATTTGAAAGAAGAAAGGGATGACGATTGAGAGCCTGATGAGGTGCAGAAGCTAGATTCAATAGAGAAAGTAGAGGAGGATGAAGCTGGTGAGTGGCGGAGGGTGGATTTAAAGACGGAGGATGAAGCTGGTAAGTTGTAGAAGGTGGATTTGAAGGCAGAGGAGGATGGAGCTGATGAGTTGCAGAAGTTAGATTTGAAGGCGGAAGAGGGTGGAGAGGGAGTGGAGGAAGAAGATAAGAGTTCTGGTGAGCAATAGGGACAAGATAAAGAAGAAACACTCTTAGAGAAAAGAATATAAATAATTATAAATATCTTAAAAAAAAAGGTGTACACTCTTCGTTTATAAATAGTTTATATAAATCTTATAAATGTCATAATAAAAGAAAAGATAAAAAATTATTATATAATATTCAACATCATATCCTTTTTAGTCATTTTACATAGTTACAACAGTTTTACATACAAATTTACCAAACACTTTAACACTACTTTTTTTGCTGAAAGCACTTTTACAAAAAAAGTTTACCAAACACTCTATTGCTTTATTTCATAGCTATTTATTCTTGCAGCACAGCAGAAGCAGTTTTTTTTTTTTCAAAACACAACAATACCAAACCAGCCCTAAGACTGCGAATGCTAGAAGAATCAGTGAGAAATTGAGGCGGTGCCGACGATGATCCATCAATCAGACCCGTGAGATTATACTGATGAAAAATTGGAGCGAAGAGATCACTCCATGTCAGGTAATTGGTAGTGGTGAGTTAATTGGAACCATAGATTTGATGTTCTGAATTGTAATGGAAGCAGAAATCGAAGAATTAGGGTTTGAGGGTGCAGCCGAAGGAAGAACTTGATAATCCGATTCCGATGAAGGAGAAGCAGATGTCGCCATGGCCAGAGATGCCTTGAGAAATCACAGAAACAATCAAGATCAGGATGACGATCGATTAATCTACAAGAATCGAAGAGAGAAGCTCACAAAGAGAAGAGGGAGAATTTTGGATCGAAGAGAGAGGTTGTGAGACATCAGCGGGTGATACCATATTAGAAAAATGTATTTCCATTTCACAAAACGAAATAATGTTACACTTTGACTATATATACAAGCTATGAAAACCAGCTGTACAGTAACAATTTTCTAACTAAAGGAAATCTTATCATAACAAATTAAAGTATTATCCCTGGAATATGAGTTTACAATATTGCCCTTAATACTGATAACAGGAGGATGTAGCAATTGTGGCAGTTTGGCCACTCGTGTGAGCCAAGGCAGAAGCCGCCATAGTGGAAGTAGAACACCACAAGGAGATTGGAATCCTGGTTTGTTGATTTGGGTTTGTATAAACGAAAGGAAAGTTTGTTTTTTTTGGTCAAAAGTGATGTCTTTGAAGCCCACGGAGCCGTCATCAATGATGGGAATGTTGAAGTTTATGTTCGATAAAGAGCAACGGTTGACCAAACCGTCGTTAAAGACTTAGAGGACGCCCATGTAATCTTTTTTTTTATTTTTAAATTTTTGTAGAGACGGATTAGGCGAGATTAGCTCTTCGTCAACAGTCACGTGCGAGGCACCAACCCCCTCCCAAAGGAGAAAGGACCGTTGCACCCAGAAACCCCCCGCCCATCCCCTCTCTACAAGATTTTATTAATAATAAGAAGAAAAAAGGAAAAGTAGAACAAACGGGGGGACTAGGCCAAAACCTGCTAAAAACAAATAATGAAAATGATATGGACTAGTTTATGGGTGCTTAGCTTCAGTCACCTAAAATTGAATTCCCATAATTCAGTTGTTTATATTTCTTTCCCAAAATGCTCTTCCATAGTAACAATTTGCTCCTCATGAGCTCGAACGGAAGAATGGAAGCCTGACACAATCTCTTCTATAAGACGCATCAGCAAAATCGAGTACCAAGTCCCATCACATAAAGCTACTATTCATTACACCAAAATTAGCAAAAGCATCCGCCAAATAATTCCCTTCCCTGAAAATATGCAAAAAACGAAAATGCAAGCGGGCAATATGCCATAAACAATTTGCCCAAGAAACTTTAAGAAACCATGGAACATCCATGGAGTGAGTTGATAGTAGGCTGATGACATGCATAGAATCTGTCTCTAACCAAATGTTATGCCATTCTTTATCCCATGCAATATGAATTGCCTCGATGACAGCCACAATTTCCGCAACAACTGCACTTGGATAAGAAGACTATGAGGCAAACGCTCCTAAAAAAAGACAATTGGAGTCACGAAAAACACCACCACTACCCACTTGACCATTCCCTTTACAAGGCCCGTCTGTGTTAATCTTAATCCACCCAACAGGAGGTGGACGCCAAAACATAGGCACGATACTAAGAGCATCCAAAGAAAGGGATGAAATTCTTAACATAGAGAATATGGGAATCGATACACAACCAGTGAAAGAAGAAAAACAAGTAGAAGCTGATTCCCTCCAATGCCGTAAAAGACAATGTTGGGACTTGACAATACTGAAACTTTTGTTCTCAAACCTGATCTTGTTCCTTTCGTGCCAAAGCCACCAAAAGAAACTGCAAATAACCAATAACCAAAGTTTCCAAACAGATGTGGGGAAAGATAAGACCAAAGAACCATAAAAAATATCTTCAATGCATTGCCAAGGATCATAAGGCTTGCCAAAAAGAATGAAAATCCATTTCCATAGAGCAACTGTTTGAGGACAATGCAGAAGAAAATGGTCACAAGATTCCCTAACATTATGATAAAAAGCGCAATACGAAGCTAAAGCCACACCTCGAAGTTGCAATAAATCATCAGTCAATAATATTCCATGACAAGCTTTCCAAACTACTAAGCTTTTGCGTGGCTGAATAGATTGATGCCAAACCATTTTAGCCCATTTTTTATGTGGAGCATGAGATGAGAAAAAAAGAAAAGCCTCTTTAGCTGAAATAGTACCCGAAGATGAACCTGTCCAAAATAACGCATCATCCATGTGTGCAATTGGCAATGGAGTCTTCATAATCTTCTCCGAAATATGAGGAAAAGAAGAAGTAAAGACAATGGGAATAGACCATTTTGCATCCTGAATAAAATCTTTTACCTTCAAATTCAAGGGAATTATGTTAACCTCACCAATATTAGAGAGCAAAGTGGTTCCAAGCCAGTTATCATACAAAAAAGAAATCTTACGGCCAGCACCAACACTCCATTGAAGGGAACTATAGAAGGAGGGCCATAATTGTTTAAGCCCCAACCAAACGGAAGACTTTTTATAAGACTTTAGCAAATGAAAGTTGTCTTTAAGAAATCTGTTACGTAACCAATCCGAAGCCGGTAAGGAAGAAGAAATTACATCCCAACATCTTTTAAGAAGGAGAGAACGGTTAGATTCAAAAAGATCTCGGATACCCAAACCACCCTCTTCTTTCAACTTACAACAAGAACTCCAAGTCATTAGAGGCATACCTCGTTTTAACAGATCACCAGACCAAAAGAAATTTCTAATCCACCCTTGAACTTCACGTAGCAAATTAGTAGGCCAAGCATAAATTTGAAACGAATCTTGGAGTCTCCCTGAATTGCGAATCTTGGGTAATCACCAGACCAAGATTCCTTGAATTACTGAATTAATAAGTTGGAGTCTCCCTGCTTGCGAAAGCAAAGAACCCTTCCAAGTCGTCAACTTGCAACGAATCTTGTTAGCAATGGCTTGAAAATAGATCTTTTTCAGACGACCCTGAAAGATAGGGACACCTAGATAAGTAAAAGGCAGATTTCCGCGACTTACACCAAGAACCTTCTGAATAATAGCATGCCGACTGCTTGCATATTTCCCAAGAAAAACTAAAGATTTTAATTTATTTATGCATTGCCCAAAATTTAAGCTGTACTCCTCTACAAAACGCATTAGGTTACGCATAGATTGCTTAGTTCCACGCATGAAAACCATAATATCATCTGCAAAAAGAACATGAGATGGTGGAGCAATACCCATGGGAACTGAAAAAAATGTCAATTAGATTATCTTCCACCATCTTTGTTAAACCCCTGCTAACAACCTCTTCAGCTAGACACAAGATAATATGAGACAAAGGATCCCCTTGACAAACACCATGAGAACATGGGAAAAAACCTTCAACTGAACTATTAATAAGGACAGAAAGATAAGCTGAAGTTAGAATAAAATGAATCCAATCCACAAAACCTGCTGAAAAACCAAAAGCATCCAAAACCCGGAGAAGAAAACCCTAATCCAAAGTGCCAAACGCCTTTTGAATATCAAACTTGATTGCAATATTCCCACCCCTACAACGTCTATCAAGGAGGTTCATGCATTCAGAAGTGAGAATGATGGGATCCACAATAGATCGTCATTTTGTAAAAGCATTCTGCTGGGGGGAGACAGTGCGAGCAGCAATAGGGCTTAAACGATATGCTAAAATCTTAGTGATAATTTTAAATGAAAAATTAGCCAAAGCAATAGGACGAAGATGGTTCACCGAATTTGCTCCATCCACCTTTGGAATTAAAATCATTAAGTTAGAATTGAAGTGAGGCAGAATATTCCCTTGGGAGAAAAAACTTTGCACTGCTTGAACCACGTCATGACCCACAATGAGCCAACACCTAAAATAGAAAGACCCGCCAAAACCATCTAGACCCGGGGAACTAGAGTGGTCCATGGACTTTAAAGTTTCAAAAATTTCATCAGGAGTTGGAATTGCTAACAAAGACTCATTTTCTGTGGCAGTGGCTACCTTGGGAATAATGCGAGCAACCAAACTAGTGTCCGTCACAGAACTATCTGCAGAAAAAAATCTTGAAAATAGGTAACAACATGCTAACTAATATCCACCTGATTATCAAGTACCCTATTACCATCTCTCATAACTGCCAGTGACTGGTGAAGTTTCCTGATTTTAACTATGGAATGGAAAAAAAAGGTATTATTATCCCCTTCAGAAAGCCATTTAATGTGAGACTTGTCACGGTAAAATTTTTCCTGTGCAATAAGAGCCTTTTGCACGCACAAAGAAGCATTATCCTCTTTTGTAAACCTTTCTTCTGAAAGACCCAAGCTGGAAATTTCCTTTTGAATTTCATCGAAAGCATCGAAAGCTCTATCAACATTCATATTAACATCCCTGAAAACCGACTTGTTCCAAACTTTTATGCGAGACTTAAGCACACGAAGCTTAGCACCAAGCACATACATTGGACAACCATAAAAATTAGAAGACTTCCAAACATCCTCAACTAGGGAAAAAAAATCCTAATGATCCAACCACATATTATGAAACCGAAACGGAGCCTTCGGAGTGATTGTTAACTTTGAGAAAGAAACAAGAAGAGGACAGTGATCAGAAGATATACGAGGTAAAGTGGAACATTCCAACAAAGACCATGCATCAATCCACTGAAAGTTGCCAAGGCAAAGGTCCAATCTCATTTCCACTTGATTTTTTATTCCTCTTCTATTCGTCCAAGTGTATGGCAATCCTTTTGTGGGTAAATGAAGCAAATCACAAGCTGAAGACACCTCTTGAAAATCAGAACAAGAAGTAGTCTTGGGTAGAAGCCCACCCTTTTTTTCATGAGCACCTAAAACACAATTAAAATCCCCTAGAACTAGCCATGGACCATTAACAAAAGAGGATTTGATAGATCACAAGTCTTGCCACAACTGACGCCTTTCAATAATTGTCGTTTTTGCATAAACCCAAGTGATAACACAACTGACAGAATCCAAGGTACAAGAAATAGTGATTTGTTGAGCGCTTGCCAATAAAATAGAAGGTTGGATGGCTTGATCACAAAGCAACCAAATATTTGGCTGTAGGTCACCCCTATCATTAACCGCAACTGGAAACAAACGTAAAGATCGCCAAAAAGACAATTTAATAGAATTTAATTGAATAAAAGGTTCAGAAATATCGATTAAATATGGACGATGATGTTGAACCATTCTTCTTAGAACCCGTTTCGTGGGAGCATTCCCCATTCCTCGGGCATTCCAAAAATGAATCTTCATAAATCAAGTCGTTCTGTGGGGACCCTAGAGCGGGTTGGATAGGGTTCCCTGACTTCTTTAGAAATATTCCCATCTCTAATCTTTTTCCTCATCTTTGCTTTTTGGGATTTTGAAAGAACAAAAGTCATTTCGTCTTCATCAACAATATCACAAATTTTAGCACCTTCTTAAAGATCAGAAGAATTAGGAGAGGAATGCTGGCACACAAGCTGACCAACATTAGTACCTAAATCACCATAATTAACTTCAAAACGTTGAGAATGAGGGGTGATAGCCTCGTCAGACTCTGAGTCATTCCCAATTACATTTTTTCCTTGCTCATTCTGCAATGCTTTCCCAGTTGGCTTACTAATCAAAGAACCTACAGTTGGCTTAGTCACTTCCATTGGCTCATTCACCACTAAATCAGCCATTAAATTGATGATCTCATTGGCTGCTGATTCAATTATTTCATTTGCTAAACCTGCGAGTTGATTGTCCGGTTGCTGAACAAGAGGAGAGTTCAACTCCATTGGAGAGGATGAATAGACTACCTCTTCAATAGGTTGCATCTTTTCAACAACTATCAGATCAACACATTCATTTCTTTTTGGGTCTTGAATAACCCGATACTCTGTTCTGTTATTTTCCTTTCGTCCTGCCGCTAGAGAAGGTTGGGAATCCATTGCCACATTTTTCTTCTTAAGGTGACGGCAATGATCAACGGTATGTCCCAAGATTCCACAATGGTTACATTTGTCCGGCAATTTTTCATAAACTATATCAATGGGAAAACTATGACCCTCATGCTCCACCATGATAGAGGAGGGGAGGTCAACAGCTAGATCCACATCAACCAAAGCACGAGCATAATATCCAAACTGGTGCTCCTTCGTGGCCTTATCAAGTTGCAAAGGAGTACCCACTCCCCTTGCAATTTCAAGAAGGTGGCGTGAATGCCAATAATCCTGGCTAAGCCCATATATTCGAATCCAAACTTGAGCATGTGTAGGAGGTGCAATATCATTTGGATTAAAATCTTGTTGCCATTCCGATAAACGAAAAATTCCATTCGGTAACGTGCAAGTCCCACCTCCCCATATCCTTCTCTTGTCATCTTCAGTATTGAAATGGATATCAAAATAACCCTTCCCGAGTGGGACGAGAAGCCATGGTGCGACTGGCCTCCATAAAGCCTCGAGGGATGATTTTGAGCTCTGTAGACTTTAAAGGGGCTGTGCCCTTGCGCAACAATAAACGCCCAATTAAATTGGTACGGAAGGATTGCAATTGTTGTTGGTACAAATCTTCGCTAATTTTAACGAAAATTTGGTTGCCGCGTATGACGGGAATTGGGAGTTGACTCAAGCTAACACACTCAGTAGAATCCGAGATAATTGACGCAAAGGTCCTGGCCTTCATAGATGGTGGCTTCGAATTTCGGGGAAGAGGAGCGAAATCTGAAACCATGGACAAAAATTTGCCCTAGAACCCTCAAACAGATTTGACATGATTTATCACAACATACTCCAGAAAATCTTCCTACTATTTCCAAGAATTGCTACAATAATACCCAAAAGTTGCCGCACCGTCTCCCTACCTACAGATGAAGCTCCGGCGCCGTCAGAGGACCGTAGGTCGCGAGAATGAAAGTTTTGCGTTCTTTCCTATTGCATGCGTCCATGCAATCTTCTACTATGTGAGGGACGGAACCCATTTTCTTCTTCTTTTGGGTTTGGTTAATTGGAAATGGAGGGCGAAGAAGGATGGCTGATGGTTGGGGGGTATATATAGAGAGGACAAAGAGGAGGATGGGTGGTGGTGGGGGATAGTATGAAATTTGAAGGTTATTTTATAAATTATAGTTAATGGGGACATTATTGAAGGTGGTCGCATAGGCATACATGGCAACTGGTTTATCTTATTATTTTGAATATGGACCATAATAGATGACCTTGGGTAGCTGAAGAAAGTTGGCTTTGGATGGTTGAAAATTACCAGTTGCATAGAAACTTATCAGATTGCTAGCATGCATGGAATATATATATTTGTTAATCTTAAAAATTACAAAGCTTACATGCACGCAAGTCAAGTAATTAGGAATTAATTATGTCTTTTGGTGGCTTAAATGTTGTTGTGGGCGTGCCAATTTGCCGTTGAGCTTGGATAGGTGAATAACTTGAATGTGGTGATGTGATGGAATGCGCTGTTAACTTTTGAATCGAGCACTTGTAGAGGCAAAGTTATTTAAATCATTGTGAAGTTCTGGTTCTTGTAAACTGGGTTTTACAACCTCAACTATATTGGTGAAAATATAGGTATGCCGAATCGGTGTCAAACTGTATGGATAAAGCTACCTAAAGGAGATGAGCGTTGTAATCATAAAAGTGGTTCGACTGTTTATGTGGCGAACTCTGAATGTAACCTGAGAGTAACCAATCATAGAACACCCAACTTCGTCGAGAAGGCTAAAGAAGCAACCTCTTTTAGCTAAAAAATCAAAGTTTTTTCGCCGACTGAGACTTATGATAAATAGTCAGCCACAAAGTCAAAGATAATCCCCAACTATTTAGTCAGTAGAGACTTCTAAGGCAAACTAACTCTCCAGCTCTAACCCTGTCGATCCAGTCGGTCGCCTTCACTGATTGCTTCTGAAGAATTTTGTCTATCCAGTGGGTTGTCATCGGTCGATTACCAACCTCAACTCATCTATTGAATCAGAATTTATACTGACTGTTAGTAAGTCAATTTCACAAAAAGGTAAGAAGGGTTTATAAAGAAACATTTCCAAACGTCTTGTCAAAGCAACGAGCAGTGTATGAACCAAGAGGAAATCGCGTTGCATGCGAGACACATTAATCTTTAAAAATAGGGGGGAAATGAGAATGTGGATAGTTATATATTTTTCTCTGGTCAATAAGATGGGGAAGAGATCCCCTTCGGATCTTTCCCATCAAAGCTCACTAATAAATTAATTTGGACCTTTGAAATTTGATACAATGGTTACAAATAAGAGATCATTTGAAAAATTATAATAATTTTAACCATTGGATCGAAGTTCAAGGATTCAGATTAATTGATTGGTGAACTTTGATGGAGGAGATCCACCAATAAGATGAGGCTCAATTTGTATTTGATGAATACTATATACAAGCCCTATATGGATTAATAACTATATATGGACCCACTAAATCTTGTCAGAAGGAACCAGACAGACATTGAACAATTTCATCATTTAGCATAAAAGCAAATATCGGATGAGTATACCATATCTCATACGAAAGGTTTGATTTGAGTTTGAGTTTGGTCTAAAACTTTAAACTTATGGACAGGGACGTTCGTTCTTGATTAATCAAAGGGATAATATAGTCTGTCTTGATTTCATTTTCTTTCTAGAAGAACTCTAATAATGTAGTGGAACCAATTAAGGGACCATATTAGTTTTTATCCATGTCAAATATTAATCTTGATCATGTAATATTATAACTCAACTGTCAATACTAACTTAACATATGCAATCGTATGATGTTTGGGTTAACTAACATATGAATCTTGTGGGTTGTAACTTAAGAATAAATTTCTTTTATTTCAAAACCAATTTCATCATTCATATATACTTACTCATGTGCATGTGGTCCAATATCCTAATAGATAGAGTGTTGTTTTTACACTCACTTATGTGGTTGCGGTAGAACAACCCGTCGTTGCTCCCCATGTTGTGGGAAGGGATGAATGAGGCAATATCGATTGGTGCCCCCCAAGGGCCGGTTGTTGCGGTCCCCCCTTGTCAAATCCAAAGTCTACTACCACTCGCCCGGTTCTCCTTGACGAAGAGGTAATGACTAAATTGCTTTTGCATACATTCTCCATTCGTCTTTACCCTCACTTGTATTTTAATATGACCTTTACTTGTGATTCTTAGAAAAGCGAGGGAGATTCGGCCCCCTTGGTCAAGAGTAGGCATTCTCCACCTAAGGAAGCATAGTCAGAGGCTCATCTTTTGCCACAAGACAAGGGCAAAAGGAAAGTCAACGTTGTCCCTTCATCGGTAACCTATGCCGTCCCCACCAAGGCTGCTCTTGAGGCTACTCTGGCCGAAGAGACGAGGCGTCACCCTCAAGATGCCGAGATTGGCACTTTGGATCAAAAGGTCTACTCGGCTTATGTAAGTTTGACTTTTCCTTTTCAATTTTTACTACTTCTGAGCATGTTGGGCTAAACAAAGTAACAAACTAACAGGGATGATGTTAGCAATCAGGAATGTGACCCTGTTTTGTAGAAATGAAATCAATAAGAAAAAGAATGATCTCTTCCTACACAGATGAATGCAGCTAGAACGTTCAAAGAGAAAACCCGAACTAACAAAGCTTTTCTTCATTCATTATCTGCTCACAAGTCATGTGCAAGGATATACCCGAAGAGAAGAGAATTCACACAAAACAATCACAACCCTTCATGTAATCTATCCTATAAGATAGATACAAGTGGCAACATGTTAAACTAAAACTGAGATTACATCTCAGCTGTCCAATTGGTCTATAATCCAATGGCTCACATTTAAACTTAGAAACAATAAGAAAAACACAGCACACACACTTATATTCCAACACTCCCTTCTAAGTGTTGTGCTGAAATTACTCCAAGCTTCTGTCTCAGAAATTCAAACCGATCTCTGGACAAAGCCTTAGTGAAAATATCTGCAACCTGTTCCTCTGTCTTGCAGTACAGTAAGTCAATCTCCATCTTGCAGTGCATCACGAATGAAATGAAACCTCCTGTTTATATGTCTTGTCTTATGATGATGCACAGGATTTTTGGTTATGGCAATAGCAGATGTATTGTCACATAAGATTGTAGTTGGTTCAACCTGTTCTTCACCAAAATCCGAAAGAACAAATCTCAACCAAATTGCTTGTGCTGTGGCCTCTGCTGCACTAACATATTCAGCTTCTGCAGTAGATAATGCAACACTACTTTGCTTGACTGATGCCCACGAAAACACTCCTGAACCAAGATTAAAAGCATATCCAGATGTGCTCTTCATGTCATCCTCACTTCCTGACCAATCACTGTCACAGTAGCCAATAAGCATTGCTTCATTTCCTTTCTCATATGATATACCATAATCAATCGTGCCTTGAATGTATCTCAGCACCCTCTTAGCTGTTCCCATATGTTTTCTAGTAGGACCATGCATGAATCTTGCCAACAAGCTTGCTGCAAACATGATATCTGGCCTTGTTGCAGTCAAATATAATAGGCTTCCAACAATCTGCCTATATAGACTCTCATCAGCTTGTTCACTACCATCCATTTTAGACAGTTTATCATTCACAGCCAGAGGAGTAGCCACAGATTTACAATCCTTGAAACCAAACTTGTCTAACAGTGTCTTTGCATATTTCTTCTGATGCAAGAAAATGCAATTATCAGTTTGTATCACACCAAGACCCAAGAAATGATGCAACAAACCAAGGTCAGTCATTTCATATTGTCTCATCATTGCAGTTTTGAACTCCATCAACAATTCTTGAGAATTCCCAGTGTAGATTATATCATCCACATACAGTGAAACAATAAGTATTCCACCTTTAGTAATCTTCACATATAAAGTTGCTTCACTAGGACTTCTTTGAAAACCTGCCTTGGTGAAATAGGAATTGATTTCGTCATACCAAGCTCTTGGAGCTTGCTTAAGACCATAAAGTGCCTTCTTGAGTTTGTACACCCCATCTTCCTTGTTTTTAATCACAAACCCAAGAGGTTGATCAACATAAACCTCTTCCTGCAAGACTCCATTTAAAAATGCTGACTTCACATCTAACTGATAAAATTTTCCACCCTTTCTGTGCAGCCAAAGCAACCAAAGTCCTTATTGTATCAAGCCTAGCAACCGGTGCAAAAGTCTCATTGAAGTCTATACCAGGCTTTTGAGAGTATCCCTTTGCAACAAGTCTTGCTTTGTTTTTCTGAACCGAGCCATCAAGATTCAGCTTAAGTTTATAAACCCATTTGACACCAATTACTGGTTTTATCAGATGGTCTATCAACAAGCTCCCAGGTATTATTCTTTTCTATCATTGCAATTTCACTCTCCATTGCTTTCTGCCATGCTTCATCCTTGACAGCTTCTTCAAATGTTTCAGGTTCAAGTATACACAGATTACATCTTTCATACACTTCTGCAATACTTTTATATTTCAGAGGTGTGTGATCAACATCCTGTGGACCTGAATCAGATCTAACATGTATTTCTTCACTCTCTTCTGGTATTTCAACATCATTTTCAGAGATCTCAGCTTGACTCAACCTTGTTCCTTCAGTTTCATGTCCTCTCTCAGTGAAAGAGTCAGTAATTGGCATTTTAAGACTACACTCCTTTTGTGTATTCCAGTCCCAACAAGCTTCCTCATTGAACACCACATCTCTGGAAATAATGACTTTTCCAGAATCAATATTGTAAAGTTTGTAGCCTTTTTCACAACTTCCATATCCCAGAAACACACATTTTGTACTAGTTAAATCAAGCTTTTGTCTCTGCTGCTCTGGAATATGTGCATAGCACAGAGAACCAAACACTTTTAGATGTTTGATTCCTGGCTTTCTTCCACTATAAGCCTCAAATGGAGTTTTCTTATCTAATGCCTTAGTTGGACACCTATTTAGAACATACACTGCAGTGTTGACTGCTTCAGCCCAAAACTCCAGTGGTATACTCTTTTCAGCCATCATACATCTAGCCATCTCTACAACAGTCCTGTTCTTCCGTTCAGCTACTCCATTCTGCTGTGGTGAGTATGCCACAGTGAGTTGCCTTTCCATTCCCACTTCTTCACAGAATCTATTAAACTCAATAGATGTGTATTCACCCCCTCGATCACTTCTCAGCTTTTTCAACTTATATCCACTTTGCAATTCAACAGTGACCTTGAACTTCTTAAACACATTGAATACATCTGATTTATATCTCAAAAAATAGACCCAACACATCCGAGTACAATCATCTATGAAGGTAAGAAAATACCGATTTCCAGCTTTGGTAATGGTTTGCATTGGTCCACACACATCTGTGTGTACCAACTCCAATGGAACAGTAGCTCTATTTGTTGTCTCTCTTTGAAAAGAGTCTCTGCAATGTTTCCCAAGAGTACACCCCTCACACACATTATTAGTGGTCTTGATTTCTGGCAATCCGAGTACCATTTCTTTCTCCTGTAGTAGCTTCAGACTGTTAACATTTAGATGCCCCATTCTTCTATGCCAGATCAGTGTTGACTCATTTACACTTGCTTTTAATGCAAGATGCAAATCTGTTTGGAATTTCAAAGGAAAACTTCGGTTTCCTCTCATTGGCACCTTAGCCACCAAATTTGAAAGAGAGCAATCATCATAAATTTCTGCTTTGTTATCTCCAAAAATAAGGAAATATCCGTGCTCCATCATCTGCCCTACACTTAGTAGATTCTCTTTGAGACCTGAGACAAGCATTACTTCATGTATATATCTCCTTCCCATCTTTGTATTCACTACCAACTTCCTTTTCCTATAACATCAACCAACTGTCCAGTTCCCATTTCTACCTTGGCAGTTATGCTTCTGTCAATGTCAATCAGTATATCTTCTTTACCAGTCATGTGGTTACTACAACCACTATCCACATACCATACATCTTCAATAGTCTTCTTGTCAACCTCATTACTTACATAGAACATAGTAGTTGTAGAAGGAACCTGAGCTGCAAAGTTTAGTTGCTGAACACCTTGAGCATTTTTCTTAGTATTACAATCCCTTGCAATGTGACCAATTTTTCCACAACAGTGACACTTAGGCTTGCTTTTAAGAAAACACTCTCCATAATGGTACTTATCACAGTGCTTGCAAGGATTTCTTCCCCCTTCTGCAGCTACAAATTGCTTTCCAGATTGGTAGACAGGCTTTTGATTCCAATTTTTGTATTTTGGCTTCCAATTCTTTTGATATCTATTTCCTTGATTTCCAGGAGAATTGACAGACTTGGGATTCACACTTAAACTCGCAAATGCCCTCTCAGTCTTGTTCTCATTATGTCTCTCCAACCTCTGTGCAAAACTTTTCAGTGAGGCAACTACCTCTTGAACCTCAATCACATCTATATCCCTTGAGTGTTCAATCACAGAGCATATAGAATCATACGCAGAAGGTAAGCTAATTAATAATTTTGCACAATCCTCTCTCTAGATAGCTCTTCTCCATAACTTCTCATTTGATTTATCAGATCGAATAATTTTGTAAGATAAACAGAAATTGATTCATCATCTCTCATTCTGGTATACTCAAATTCTCTACGAAGACCTTGTAGTTTAACACTTCTAACCTGTTTGTCTCCATGAAATTCTTGCATCAGAATATCCCAGGCTCCCTTAGAAGTTTCTTCGTGTGAGATCCGAGGAAAAATTTCATCCGAGACTGCTCCCTGAATCAGCCCAAGCGCCTTGGCATCTTTCATGAGCTTCTCCGTGAGAGATGAAGCGTCACTCGATCCCTCTTTCTCCTTCATCTTCAGATCTGAATCAGCTCCCTTCGAATCTGAGCTCTCGATTCCTTTTTCCACAAATTCCCATAGTCCATAAGACTTAAAAATGGTTTTCATCCTTATACTCCAGAATTCATAATTCTCGCCGGTGAAGATCGGCGCTCTCAGCTCACCTCCTCCAGATCCTGCCATGTTAGACACAGATCACTTCACAGATTCAATCTCCCAGATTAAACGATTGAACCTGGCTCTGAGGCCATGTTAGCAATCAGGAATGTGACCCTGTTTTGTAGAAATGAAATCAATAAGAAAAAGAATGATCTCTTCCTACACAGATGAATGCAGCTAGAACGTTCAAAGAGAAAACCCGAACTAACAAAGCTTTTCTTCATTCATTATCTGCTCACAAGTCATGTGCAAGGATATACCCGAAGAGAAGAGAATTCACACAAAACAATCACAACCCTTCATGTAATATATCCTATAAGATAGATACAAGTGGCAACATGTTAAACTAAAACTGAGATTACATCTCAGCTGTCCAATTGGTCTATAATCCAATGGCTCACATTTAAACTTAGAAACAATAAGAAAAACACAGCACACACACTTATATTCCAACAGATGAAAGTGGTCATATCACCGACAGTTTGATGAGGTGAGGAACGTTGTCCATTTTTCTCGGCCGCCTCAATGGCCTTCGAATGTAGATAACCTTCATCAACTGTTTGAGCTAAGGAGCCACCTAAAATACTGGACTTGGCCATTAAGCTTTCTGGGTTCGATTAACTCCTCAGGTGATATGGCGAAGCCTCTTCTCAATAGGTTAAAATCTTTCCTTTAATCATCCAACAATCCCTTTTATTTACTTTAACCAATCTTGTTTTGTAGTCTCCTTTCTCCTGGACGGTCAAACTGGATGCGCTGCTTACCAGTACATCAGGAACGGCCGGCTCATCTCAAACACTCGCTGAATCATCTGATGAGTTGATATCGACTATGTTATGTGGAAATGTTGTGAATCAATTGAAGTATATAAAGAATCTTATTCACAAAGCTGGAATTGAGTCATGAAAGCCTTCAAATACTCCATGTAAACCACACAATCAGATGCTACTTAATGAGGGCAAGCCATTGCAAGATTCTACATTGTACATAAGTTTGGTTGGTTTACTACCTTACTTTTACACACCCAAATATAGCTTATGCTGTGAATTCAGTGTGTCAATTTATGACAGCTCCTACAGGTGTGCATCTTGGTTCTGTAAAGAGAATTATTAGGTATCTTCAAAGGAACTACAAAGTGTGGAATCACTTACTCTTATGATATTGACATTTACTTAACATCATTTTCTAATGCTGATTGGACTGCTGACTTAAACACAAGAAGGTCAGTGACTGGCTATGTAGTCTATATTGGAAGTAATCTTATTTCTTGGCAATCCAAGAAGTAAACTTCAGTCTCAAACAAAGGTAGAATATAAAGCACCAGCACATACTGCAGCAAATGTGGCATGGATCAAGTTAATTTTGAAAGATCTGAGGGTAGCATTACCTATTCCACCAACTATACATTGTGATAATATGTCAGCTATAGCACTCAATGCTAATCCTGTATATCATTAGAGGATAAAACACCTTGATATTGACTATCATTTTGTCAGAGAGAGAGTACACAAGGATGATCTGCTGGTTGAATATCTGCCTACTGATAAACAGACAACTGATGTTCCTACTAAAGGGTTGCACAGTCCAACATTCACTCGTCATTGCTTCAATCTCAAGCTAGGTTACCCTAGTTGAGATTGAGAAGGGATGTTGACTTATATTGACTAAAGAAATGCTACATAATGTCATCAGTAATGAAGTTAAGAATTAGTTTAAATAGTTATATGTAGCTTACACTGTAAGAAAGTTAGTTAGGCTATTAGACTTGTATAAAAGGATGATTGCAGCTTATGTGTATCAAGTCTTCGATTCATTAATACAAAGCATCTCATTTAAGCGTCCGTGTGGGCAAGATTGTGAGACTGCCGAGGCTAGGAGAAGGTTAGTTGTCGATTCCCTTGCGCTGTAATTGCCTTGATTTGTATTTTCTACTGTGGAATCGGATTGTTGTTTGTTTTACTTATGCTTTTTATATAGATTCAGACAATTTATTGAGTGCTCCCAAAACCAGCCTCATCATATATGTGTTTGAGGGAGGCCGGTGGAATTTTGATACCTGTAAGAACTTAACTGCATTCAAATATGATATCTTTATATGCATTCAGTGGATGGATATACTCTGTTCTAATTTAAGCCTCCATGTAGGTGGCTGTGTCATGGTACTGGTCAGGGAAAAAAAAAGAAATGGAAAGAAATAAGTTTGATGAAAGAATTTTGTATGAGTTCTACGCTTTTAAATCTACATGCAAAGTGTACGCACACAGCTAAATGTAGTTTTATGAATCAATCACTTAAGAGTTTAAGGAGTGGTTAGGAATATTCTTGATTAACAGTGTTTGCACGAATTGCGAACTGACTACCTAATTAGCGATGGTTTCCTACCATCTAATTTTCATTTTCGTACTTTGTTGATGCACAAAACCGAAGATCTTGGACCAAAGTAAATCCGGCCGTGAATCTACATGAAATGTAAATAACACAAGATGTATCGTGGTTCACCCTAAGGTTTGGGCTACGTCCACACTGATTATATTTCTGAGGGAGAATGAGCTCTGAATGAGAGTCTCTATAATGAATCTGAGAGGATGTCAGAGTGAGAGCTTGAGGGGGTGAGGAGCCTTAGGAATTGGCATCCTTCAATTGTGAGGGTGATGAGTCATTTTATAGAATAAGGGCTCCTCACTTATTACATATTTGCCCATTACATAATTACATTTAAGTCCCCTGAGTATTTGTACGAGATCTAAGTACGGAGGCCCAAAATATGGTATAAACAGTAGGCCCCCAAGTCTTCAGTCAAGAGAGTTTTTTGGCTGGAGACTTGAAATTCAATCCATATACAGGCTGAAGTGGTTAGATGTCTTGAACAAGTACTTAACCCAAGGCAATGCTCAACATAAAGCAATACTCGGCTAGAGGTATCACACGTTACGAGACTGCTCAGCTGGAGGCGATGCTCGTTGCGAGGCTGCTCGGCTACAACTATACTCACGGCGAGGCATTTGCTCGGCTTGAAGCGATGCTCATTGCGAGGCGACTCGGTTAGAGGCTATGTTCGCCGCGAGGCGGCTCGGCTCGTGGTATTCCTCATTGCAAGTATCTACTTTATGTCAACATGCACTCAGTATGAGTTGATTCTCGACATGACTCGGGTCTGTTTGTCGGGTTCACATATTGGGTCTATGTGTCGGATTCATGGATCGGGTTCGCAAGTCGGGTCTTTAAGTCGGGGCCATACGTAGGGTCATCAAGTTGGGGCTATCTGTAGGGTCATCAAGTTGGGTCCAGGCACATAGGTGTCCCAATAAACGAATGTCCGAGCAAGTGGGTGTCCGGTCAGACAAGAGATCACCGTTCAGACTAAATCTTTGTCACCATAAGCATATGGTTTAGTGATCTATAGGCTGATCAATAGTATCAGTATGCTTCTTTAATCAGCAACAATGTTGATCAACAAAGTCCGTGCCATGAACCACCAAAATCATGTCACCCTAACATTCAAATAATAAAAGGTGTAATTTAGTCAGACTTGTCACATGTTATGGAAAATAGTCATGTGATAAATCATTAATAATAATGTAAAACATATTATTATAACATGTCACCCCGTTCGTTTAGGTAGTAATGCAATTTGTATAACAGTAAAATAATGATAGTAGTAATGATGTGTATGCGTCGTGACCCGACATAATTAGCACACAACAATAGTGGAAAAGCAGATATTGTGAGGTGCCGCACTATCAGATCATATATATATATATATATATATATATGTATATATATTGTGAGGTGCCACACTATATGCACATAGATCATGAAAGCAAATAATATAGCTAACTGTGCACTAAAATATAAGTGTGATAGAAATGATGTGGTCTCCTCAAAGAATATGCATACTGTAAAGCGTCCACCAACACAAAATAATAATAAACTATTAAATAATGAATTAGCTCATGAATGATTAAATAATAAACTATTTAATAATACTGTGGTCTCGTCAAGCTGTTGCTATTGCACAAGCAGTGGGACGTGATGACAGCCATGAAAGAAATGATGTGGTCTCTAATATGCATACTGTAAAGCAAGGGTATCTTATCACAATAATGATAAAGTAATAAAATAATAAAGAAAATGATCTTATCTTTCTTTTGAATTGTAGCTTTTGATAAAGCTTCAGGTCGAGATACGTATCCCATTTGTTTCCGATAACCTTGCCGCAGGTGAAACAGCGCACTAGGATGATCTCTGAAAGTATCTCTGAAAGTTTCGAAATAAAAGCCACCTACAGGGTGGGGATTCAGTTTCAGTTTAGCTACGATCTCTGATGCAGTTCTCATGTTCCTTCCTGGGATCTCTAAACTCTTCGTCTTCCTCTGACAACAGCCACTATATTCAGAGATAGTACCCCCGCAAGAAGGAAATATGCACACTCTATGAAAATCAAGAAAACAAAAGATGCGGTGAAGTTCAAGGTTCGTTGCTTCAAGTACCTTTACACATTTTGTGTGTTTGACTCAGAAAAAGCTGATAAGTTGAAGCAGTCTCTTCCTCTAGAACTACTATGCTGACGACATGCTCTCTGTCTAGCTTCAATCTCTCCAACGACATGCTTTCTTCCGCCAGCTGCTCCAGGTCATCCTGCAACTGTATTCAGTTTGTTGTTGGAACCCCGCGTGCCACCACTGCCCTTTGGATTGGAGGACGAAGGCAGCTCCGGCGTCGATTTCGCGGCGGGCCTCGAGGAAGGGTTCAGGGCTGGGAGGTTTCGCCATCTTTTGATTCGAGAACAACCGAGAGAGGTGGAGGAGGAGGAGATGCAGCAGGCGGATGTGCAGGTTAAGGGATGATTTAATGGGGGAATGAGGCGGGCATAGGTTAATGGAGTTGTTTGGAAGGGATCAGAGTCTCAGATCTGATGGATAGCTGAGATCAGTTAGAAGTCAATGCCCAATTGGTTGTGTTGTTTGTCTCTATGATTTACTTGTGGAATTGGAGACTATCAGTCAGCTGATTTAAGAAAGATG